GTGAAACACAGATGCAGAGTGCACAGAACTAACCACATCCTGAGCCTGAATGAGTGTGAGTCAGTGAACAGGGCAAATCTAACCTTTTTACTTAGACATTTGGCATTCTCGTTATTAGTGGAGTGTTCTGTGCAAACTCAGTTTCCTGTTGTTTGCTAACAGGAGTGGAAGCCAGTGTGGTTTTCTGTCAGGGGTTAGTTCTGTTCTGCTTAAAGTTTCATGTGTTCTGCATCCCAAGGTGCTCTTTTTGAAATGCACAACGAAGAGTACACAACACAGATAGAGAAAGGTTATTACAGTTGTCTTCCTGTCTGCTCAAAACAGGCATCAACGAGGCGTTCTCACACAGGGAGCTGCTGCTGCTCTATTTCTGACCAGTTTCTTTGTAGACTGTAGACATGGTTATATGGGAAAATCCCAGTAGATCAGCAGTTACTGAAATACTCAGTACAACCAGATTCACTGAAATCACCTTTCTTCGCCGTTCTGACGTCATCTCGACCATGACTGCATTCCTACATGCATTTAGTTGCGGCCATGTGATTTGCTGATTTGCATTAACTAGCAGCTGACCAGGTGTACCTCGTGGAGTTTTCAGCGAGTGTCCGTGTGCTTTTCATCAGTCAGTCTTGTATTTTTAATTATCCTAAATGACTGATGACTGATTATCACACAGGTGTGTCTCATAATCATAGCTGAACATTTTTTTCAGATATCAATTTATAAAATATGATGTTAATAATGTCAATAGTTCAATTCTAAATAAAATGCAGGTGCTTGCCTGGCTTCTAGCTAAATCACAGCTGCTGTAACTGTACAGTGTGTTTATCATTTATGATGTTAAATATAGCAGATTTCTTGCTTCTTCTTCACCTTTGTACCTCTGCTAAAGTAGTTTCATCTCCAATCTGTCAGACTCTATGCGTCTGTTGTATACAGTGTAATGCAAAGTTCCCCTCTTAGCAAGCACTCAGTAACGTGGGAAAGAAAAACCTCTGAAAAACCAGAGCAAACTGGTGACGCTGTAACCACGAGACAGACACATGTTCAGAAGGGTAATGCAATATGCAGGAGAAGAGATGCGTAGCAGGAAAAAAGACCAGCTGCACAGTGAGGAGACACTAAGGTCATATCATGGAAGAATGAAAATAAACCATCACATTATAAATCATTTTTTTAAATATTCAGGCAAATGTCTTGAGTCTATTGAGTTATTGAAGTTCTTTAAAACATTTAAAATATGTGCGTTAACAATATGTAACTATTTACCTGCTGGATGGAGCTATAGAGCAGTCACTGCTGATTCTACTGTATACAGTTCCAGATAGAGAGGAAGGTTGCTGGCAAATAATCACATCTGCACATTTACAGAAATTGTTTATTGCAAACAATGTGGGGTTTATGTATTTACACACACGTCTTCCTGTGTGTGCCTTTGTAGTGTCTACCTGTTGTTGCCGCTGCTTCTTTAGTAGGGGAGGCATAATTACCCACTGTTGACCGTCTCCCTCCCCACAGCCCCGACTGGTCACCTGGTTCTGCCAGATGTTTCTGACTGTTAAAGGGAGTTTTTCATTCCCACTGTCACCAAAGTGCTCAAAAAGGGTAGTGTCATTGTTGGGCTTTCTCTGTATTATTGTAGGGTCTTTACCTTACAATATTAAGCGCCTTCAGGCAACTGTTGTTGTGGTTTGGTGCTATATAAATAAAACTAAATAATCATTTAGTGTTTAAAGAAACACTTCCTGACAAATCTGTTCACAGGTTGTTCATTGGGTTTAGAGCTACTGAGGTCATTTCTTGTGATTCACATCATTTTAACTGCAGTTTCTGCTTTTTGTCTTTTTAGTGATCTACAGAGTCACCATGAGGACCAAAGCCATCCTTCTTATGTCAGTGTTTATACTGATACTCTTGATTCCCGTATCTTTTGCTACCAGCACTCAAAACTATACTCTAGAGAACAATGTGACATATACTCAAACTTTAGGCTATTCACACTCTCCCTCTGGAGCTACAAACGGCACAACAACATCCTCCCCAACATCCAGTTCAGTTACAGCCGTTGTTCCATCAGGCACAACTTCCTCACCCTCCACAACCGGAAAGGCAGTGAAGATTTGGCTTATTGTCATTCTGTTGGTCATCATGGTTTTGATGGTGCTTGTGGCATATCTCCATCACGTGTGCCAGCAGTCAGACCACAGCGGCTCTGTGCCCAGGTTCCTATTAGATGTGAGGGAGAGGCTGAGAACCTGGATCAGGAACCTGGAGGACCACCTGGGTGTTCAGCTTTGGCCAGGGGACAAGAGAACAGCAGAGGATGCCATGGAGGAGGATGCCGAGGAGGAGGATGCCGAGGAGGACACAGAAGGAGGACAGGCAGATGAGGGAGAGGGGTGGAGGGGTGGAGAAGGAGCTAATAATGAACTAAGCAACGAGGAAAAAGGAGAACACAAGGAGGAAGACAGCGACACTTCGGATGACTGCTCAAGTTTGGAGGGGGATGATCTGAGGGAGAGGGCACTAAACAGACAGAATAAAGAGGAGGGGAACCAGAGCAAGGGTGAGGATGAAACGAGTACCTCAAGTGATGAAGGGCAAAGTCATTCAGAAGGAATGAGTGGTGGAAATAAAGATGAAGATTCTGAAGAGACTGCACTTGTAATCGCCCCTCAGCAGGATTTATGTGATGTGACTGTTTTATAGTGAAACGATGCATTCTGACTGTTTTTAATGTTACAGAGTTTAGTTACTTTATCAACACCAAATCAATAAATCAATACATTTGCCTTTTTCATAGTTGTCTCTGTGCTCTACCACTGAAACGCCGATGTAAAAACAAACATTGTCAGTGTGTGATGATCTTCAAATAAACCTTTAAAAAAATCCTCCTGTCTGTAATTAACATGAAATTCAGATGGCACAGCTTTTTTACTGATGAGTACATAAGTGAGGGGATACACCTTACAAAGTTATATTCAAAATACCTCTCTTCAAAAGCACTCCAGTATGATGAGCAGACACCGTCCATGGGTTTTTCCTCCAAAAGCCCATGGACAGGTTTAAGAGAAAAGTGATGAGAAGCATCAACACAAACTAATTTAAAGACCTATTTGCCAGATATCAAATATTAAAATATTAAAACTGTTGCAGATTTATTATGTGAAAATGTCTTTATTCCCTTTTCTGAGTCATTTCCAGATCTCTTACAGGAAAAAGCTCCAGATTCTGAGGTCGTCTTCAGTTTTTTGGTTACCTGGTTGATGTTGAAGGGGTAAACTATGACAACCCCCTTTTTATAACTAAAATGTGGAATTATATTTATTTCCAAAGCTATTTGCAAGAAAGAACATAATCATGTGCACCTAACTTCTTTCACAGGTATTCAATGACACACGCATCTAAATTCAGCAACCTGCTTTGCAAGTGTGTTCAGTTCGTGATACTGATGGTTTCAATCTTGAAACCTCTTCTTTCTAAGCTGAGAAAATTTTGATTAACCTCCAAACTTCTTAGCAGCCTTTACAGATGCACAGCAAAGAGTATCCTGACAAACTCCATCACAGTGTGGTAATTCCAACGGCAGTGCCTGTGGAGTCCCACCACTACAGATTTACATCATTAAGGACCGCACCCACCCACGGCACACAGATCACACTCCTGCCACCTGGCAGGTGCCTGCGCCCATTCCTCTGGTGAGCCAGTGTTTCCCTCGTTTTCTGAAGGCTCACTTCAACCATCACTACTTCTGTCCCCTGCCTGGGAACTCGCAAAGTTACTCTGAGAATTTCATTGCTCAGAGTAACCATTTGTGTTTTGCAGTGTACATGACAATAAACTTTAATCTATTACTGAAGACAGCAATGTCATCTGCATACTGGGCAATCAGAGAGACCACCACTGCAGTGCAAGTGCTCTTTTATACTGTAATACTGTAGTAGTGAGGATAACAATCACGACGTACAGGACGTAGAGGCCAAGGTACCCCAGTGTTTCTCCCAGCGTAAAAGCAGAGCTGCATAAAACCATTTACCCAATTTTGTGAACAATTCTGATGTGACTCCTATTTAAAGTTGTGTTTGTCCAGAAAGCTGAGTTTTGTGGAATATTTAATATTGCATTAGCTGTAAATTGGCAAATTTTGTTTTGAAATAGATGCTTCTGCAAATCTCATTCCAGATGTTGGCGTTAGTAGTGATAGTAGTGATAGGTCTGATTCCCATTTTTCTTTTTTTTTGTAATTGTAATGTTGAGTAGTCCTGAAGTTGCCTGTGGAAAGACGATATTTATAGTATTAAGCTCAGTATTAAGTGAGTGGACAACAATAATGTCCGTATCCTGTACGTCTGCATCAAGTGAGAAAATAAGACCAGGATATTACTTTAAAAATGTGCTGCAGATGTGTGAAGCCTTTTCTTACTCGTATGCACAAGTACAGTGGTTTCATGTTAATGGAAAAGTCAGAATTGTTCGAAATAGCACCATCTAAATAAACTTCTAAGGACACATTTGTTGAAACACTTCCACCAGGCTGTCAGACGGGCTGCTATTGTTAATGATTTCAAACAAAGACACAGACACCCCAGAGATCCCTGATAAATTTAAAGTATGCAATTAAATTGTTGCAGGATCACATCATGGCTTCTATTCTTTGGACATGTGATACCAACAATAAAAACCCAGAGTGGATAAATTACATCTACTATAAAAAGCCCCAAAAATGTGATCTGTTCATCTGGATAATCAAATAGAAAGATCTTAACAGCATTAAGCTGCCGCTCAGGTTTACTGAAGGTGCTGAAACACCACTCCAGATCTTTCCGACGCCCCACTTATGTGGCAATTACAAATGATGATGGCAGCTCCACCAAACACAGTGAAATTCTACACCAGTTTTCATCCACCCAGTCCAGGGTCAGTGAGCCTACAGGCTGCGAGAGGCCGGCTACACCCGGGACAGACTGACGGTCCGTCGCACGGCTAACACAGAGACAAACCACTTTTCATTAGTGTCTTTATTAATTAAATATATTACCAGCTTCTGTTTACATGATTTACATTGCCGTGCAGTGTTGTACAGCAGAGATTTGTCTGAGGTGATTTAAATGAAACTGTCGAACATCTGTCAGCCTCATGACGAACAGATGTCTGTGTGTTTCTACTTTGCAGCGAGTTTTTGTTGAATGTCTTTGTATCGCAGGAGCTCCTCATCAGAAACTGATGACTTGAAGTTTTCTAAAGCAGTGGAGAAATCCTCAGTGGAGAGGAGGACAGGAGAGTCTTCAGAGTCTAGACCTGACAGGGAGAGAGATGGAGAGGGTCAAAGGTTTGAAGGGGAACAGAGAAGAGCAGACAGGTAAGTCGATCTCACCGCCTGTTCAAAAGCTTAAAGATGTGGAACACGATCTTTTTGCATCATGTTTGTTAGACCAGCAGAATCAGCTGTTAACGGGCACAACTTTCAGCTGGCAGACGCACTCAGACTTTTCTATACATATAGTCCATCAGTGTTTACTACAAATAACAACAAGCACAGAAAGAGAAACAGGAAGTGTATCTTTTGTGATCACATTTTTGTTGTTTTTACACAAATCAAATTGTTAAATGTTGTCATTGTGTCACTTAAATGTGTAAGTCTTGGTTCAAGCAGCCTGATCAAAGACATTCTTTTGTTTCTGTTGACCTCCCCAGCCTGTTGGTGGGGGGGGGCTGTAGTGTTTTATTATAGGGACACGTCCTATGTGAGGGTTCTGTTTCTTATTTAGTGAGGATGTTTTACTTCCTGCCTTTATGACCTCACCTGTGTTTGTGTTCGGTGAGACTGTTAGAGGGGTTAAGCCATATACAGGTTGGGGGAGATGACCCTTTGGTGAGCAGGAAGTCACACAAACGCACCCCCCAAACACATACTCATATACGTTTTACAATGGGTGGTGCTTGTGTGCACTGTAACTGTTTTCAATAAAAGGCGGAGAGAGGAGGTCGGGGTTAAAGTCGTCTGAGGTTGGATTCAGAGTGCTTCTCTGAGACACCGCCCGGGGCTTCCCAAAGAGCTCATCGCACAGTTAGGTGGTGTTTCGATGAGGTGTAGCGTACGGCGCAGTCCCTGCTTCACAGTCAGGAAGAGTAAAGCCTACGTGATTCACCTCAGAGATTTCGTGGAACAAACAGACACAAAACTGAAGTCGATTCTTGAGTGGGATTTATGTCTTAATGATAGGTGGGTAAACACTAGGATTTAACAGGCAGCAGCTACTATTGCTATTGTTGTTTGACCAAGCTTGCAAAGACTTGGTTAATACAGTGTATGATCCATCAGAGCACATATAACCAGTTTAAAGCCTGAGAGGCCCAGCAATACTAGCTGCCCATAAATCAGTTGCACAGCTATTCTACCACCGTGGTCAACCCAACAATCTGAAGATTACAATGGAAAATCCTCACAACCCCATTACACTTATCAGCAGCAGAAGAATGAGCAGTTAACTGGAAAACCCTGCTAGATGGACAAGACCTGCAAAAACAATATAAATGTCAACATATTACAGACTATATACTTCTGGAGCAAAGAGAAAAACCAGCTTCAGACAAATCTGCTGATGCAGCTGTGCTAAAAGGGACTTCCTTCCCTCGAGGTTAAAAAGTAACAGAGAAGGTCTGAGTAAACAAATCAACAGTAATAACGATAAAATCTGCATTATTCATTACTTTCCCAAAAATGAAAGTAAAGTTCATGGGTAAAGGCAACAACAGATATAGAAGGTTAGAAGGTATAATTAAAAATAATTATGGATAAATGAAATCAGAAAGAAAAGACCGTTATCACAGTGACAGACCAAACCAAAAGTTCAACAATCTTGGGAATAAACTTCCCCAAGAAAGTAATGGGGTCACTTCCCTCGACTGATTTAGGATCCTGACATTGTGTTGTCTTCATCAGCCCTCCAAATATATCACGACCATTTGTTCAACCCTCTTGGTTTTCACTCGGGATAAACCTTTTTGATGATCTATTCAATGCCCAAGGCCTTCGTTCATTTGAGGACTTAAGGACACGTTTTTCTTCTTACTTTGTGTATCTGCAGCTCAGATCAGCTTTAAAAGCATATGGTGTCCCCTGGGACTCTCCTCTTCCCTCTCATCCCATGCTGGAATGGACCTTGCGTAACTCTGGTAGTCCGTCTGTTTCCAAAATCTACAACAAATTAGCTGAACATGGTATAAAGCCCCTGCCCATTGAATCTATTTGGGTCAGGGAACTGGGAGAACTACAGGTTAATGTAGACTGGGATACAGTGTGGTCTAATCTGAGTGTGACTTCTAAGAACCTGGCGCATCAATTAATTCATTTAAAAACCATACACAGAACATACATTACACCCTATAGGAGGTTCCAGATGAAACTACAGGCTACGTATCACTGTCACATCTGCAATGATTCGTCACCAGGCACGTTCTTGCACGTTCTTGCGACTGTCCTGTTGTATCCAATTTTTGGGTCTTTGTGAACTCTGTTATCTGAGGTGCTGGAAGTTTTTTATGTTCCCAATCCTGGTCGTTGTCTCCTTAATGATACCTCTGAAATCTCCTTAAAACAAATACAATGCAAAATGTTGTTCGCTGGATTCACATCCTCAAAGAAGACTATTACGAAGCAATGGTTCAGTCCTGACATTTGTATGGAATCATTCTGGAGACGATGTCGTGTTATTAATTTTGAACATACCACAGCAAAATTAAATAAAGCTCGACCCACGACTGTTGAAGCTTGGAAAATCCTCTCATCCAGAGTTATCTCCTGGAAGAGGCAATAATTGGTTTTGACTTTGTGTTTTTTCTTTGCTGTCCCTATGCCTTGTGACCAATGTTTGCTTTGCTACTGTAGTTTACAGTTGTATATGTCTGTACCCCCCCTCCCCCTCCCCATTTTAAATCAATAAAATGTTGATCACACAAAAAAAATGTTAATAATTTAAATATTATACTCTAGATCAGATTTCTAATCCCTACACCGAACCAAGGAAGCTAAAAGTAGAATATTTGTGACGAAAGGCCGAAACACCCTGTGAAGGCGCACAGCTGACAATGTGTCCCCCTGAAGAAGCTTCGGGCTGCCTTTCCTCACAGTAGTCATCGCCTAAGCAATGCATCATCATCTAGTCCTTTCAATGAATCAGAATGAATCCGGTTTCCTCACCGTCATTGATGAGAGAGATCTTCCTCTTGATGGCTGCCATCGTGGCATCTGAACAGAGAGCGTATAGGTCAGCACCGGTCATGTGAGCAGGGCAGCAGTCCACCACCTCTTGGAGATTCACAGCAGGGTCCAACTGAAACCTGGAACCAAGAAAAAGCTCGTGTTTTAAAAGATGAAGTTAAAGTATAGTACTTACCATTTAAATGGACTGATGCTACGTAAACACAAATTTCTCATGCTCATATTTTTATTTTAATCCGATGACAGGTTCTCTGTACTAAAGCTGTGAAGACCAAAGTATTTTATGAATCATATCAGAATGAAATATGTCGGAGAAAAAAGGTCGTTTTTTGTGCCTAGCTTCTTTGCAGCTTGCGTAAAGGCCCGGCCTTCGCAGGAAGTGCTGTTCTTACTTTCTGAGGATGGCCTGAAAAACCTGCAGCTGGGAAACACGATCCTCATTGATTCCCATGTAGACCAGCTTATCAAACCTAAGAAGACAAAGGAGAGGTTCAGACACACTGAAATCAGAGAAATCTGTCTGATTGATTCCAAATGAAACAAAACGTTATATCTGTAACTTCTGTTCCCTGAAGGAGAGGAACGAGGTACAACATGGGGCTGTTCGATATAACGATATATATCGGATGACGATATAAAAACGTCTGTCGTTTCATTTTACGCTATCGTTTGTTTTGTGGTGTCGCAAAATAAACTGGACAGAAATGAGCTCCCATTTATGCATATCATCACTGGCCATCTGCCGGTCGCAGCAGATGGCCGCCCTTCCTGAGCCTGGTTCTGCTGGAGGTTTCTTCCTGTTAAAAGGGAGTTTTTCCTTCCCACTGTCACCAAAGTGCTTGCTCATAGGGAGTCACATGATTGTTGGGTTTTTCTCTGCATGTATTATTGTAGGGTCAACCTTTCAATAGAAAGCACCTTGAGGCGACTGTTGTTGTGATTTGGCGCTGGATAAATAAAATTGAACTGAATGAAAATGCTTGAGAGCCAAGAACACTGCTAGCAGCTCTAAGTGGTTGATGCACAGATCACACTGGGCTGTGGTCCAGATCCCTCTCACTGATGTGCCCTCACACAGTGCTCCCCACCCCCCCTAGGGAAGCATCTGTGGACAGCACCTTGTGAAACAACACCCTGATGCAGCACCCGGCTCCCTACAGGACCAAGAGCTAGCATGCAAGATGCAGCACTCTCATCTTTAACAATTCAAGTGGCACTACAGTGATCATAGAGTAAATCAGCAACGAAATGCAGCTGGCAAACGTGCGCAGCTGGAAAGCGAGCATATTTCCAAACCGAGGAAAGAAATGTGCTGACTCTGAACTAGCAAGCTCTTTGAAAGTTCACAGAGAAACCCAGTGCCTGAATATTTGACAGATCCAGTGACAGCTGTGTCGCCACCCACTCTCTGGAGCAAGCTACAAGAGCCCAGTCACCTACACAAGCTAAGATGCAAATGCTTCTCTCTCTGAGGAGGGCCAATGCTGCCTCGGCACATTTTGCGAAGGTGCGAGGAGTGAGAGACGACCGGAATGGCAGCACCAGGTATTCGTAGGCTACGCCCTCGAATCCAACCTCAGAAACTGCCTGTGGTTCGGGTGTACAGCCACATGAAAATAAGCATCTATTAGATCAGTTGGTCTGAAACAATCTTCCAGGCCGACTGCATTCAAAAGCTGATTGTTAGCATCTTCACCTTGTACCTTTGTAAATATTTGTTCAAGACTCACAGGGTGAGGTCCCAGCAGGCTGTCATCAGCAACCAGCAATCTGAGCTCCTGGTACGTCTGGAACATAGTGACGGAGCTCATGACTCGGATGAAGCCGGGACCCCAGACTCAGATTGGAGAGGGTATGCAACCATATGTCCCAGCACTTTCTCCACAAACACCACCTGTCTTTCCAGCCTCGAACGCCGGAGCTAGTGACAAAATAACAGGCTTCGGCTCCATCAATGCTCTCATAGCGTGGACAATCTCAAGGCAGACGGGGCACGCATCGTGCAAAGAGAAACCGCACCCCTGAGGACAGGGGCAAACAGAAGATTTCTGCCTTGCTTGCTTTGATTTGATGTCCATTCCAAAACACTAAGGAAAACTCAAACTTATCGCTCCACGGGCATCCTATGCACCAACAGGGGCAGTTAAGCTAACTTCGAGTGGGCAGACAACAGAGCTAAATAGAAGGGGGAGGATGCTTATGTGTTGTACCGAGTGAAACGACTGAAAGGGAACCAGAATTGCTTTATTGAAGAAGTCTTGAATCTAGGAATTGCAAACAAAAACTCATCAGGAAAAGTAATAAATCACAATTCAACTAAGCAGCAGGGTCATTCTGTGGTTCATTAAGAACTGATTTGTTTTTGGAGCCAGCACACCACCCTGTGAAGTGATGCAAACATAACTGTGTGTGAGTGAGTGAGAGCGCTGACCTGCCAGGTCGGAGCAGCGACTGGTCCAGCAGGTCTGGACGATTTGTGGCTCCGATTACAAAAACCCCACCAGATGAGTGCAGCGCATCAAGCTCAGCCAACAGCTGAGACACAACTCTGTACAAAAAGTAAAATTCATCGATGGTACAAGAGCTGAGCACAGTAAATTATGTCTCTCAGTAGGGCTGCCACAAAC